GGCAGAAAATTGGAGCCTATGTAAACATAACCTCTTATTATCTCATTGGTATTCCCGTTGGACTTCTATTGTGTTTTCATCTTCACTTCAATGGGAAAGGACTTTGGGCTGGTTTAGTCACAGGATCAACACTACAAACACTAATCTTATTTCTTGTTATTGGATTTACCAATTGGAGGAAAGAGGTGATTGCAACCGCGCAACTCGCTGTGTTTTTAATCTTTCATTTGATTATCGAGAAATCGAGCTAATATTTGTTTCTACATTTTTTGTCAGGCAATCAAGGCTAGGGAGAGAATAGGTGATGAGAAGGTTTGGAGAGATGACTCATTGCTTAATTGAAGAAAAATATAAATACAAACTTTGGGGATTTTGATTGCTTGTTGTTTGTGAGTTTGTGCAAGAATCTTCAACGGTTATATGGATTTTTTTTTGTTCCTACTTCACTCAGTCCTTAAGGGATTTATAATAGGATGATTGAAGTGTTTAAAATGCATGGGACCTAAACAAAGTTTAAAACTTAATGAGGTATGTAGTTGATTGTAACAAAGTTTAAACATATATCTCAATTAAAAAAAAAAGGAGTGACCAAAGTTGATTGGTTCAAGCGTCAAATCTTCTATACTATAAAGTCTATAATATAACTTGACGAAATGGCCAAAAACAAATAATGCACCAAAGAGAGTATCTTGGAAGGATATACCAAAGAATAAAACAAGTCAAAAAGCAAATTTGAAATACTTTCTCCGACAAGAGGTAAGTGAGATGCTCATAAGAGAGTCAAGGTGAGTAGGCAGAAAACACGTGGAAGCAACTACATATCATAAATCAATTGAAGGTAAAGAAATTCGAAACATCAACATCATTCCAAGAAACAAATTAAAATGTATGAACATGCAACAAAATCAGATATACAAGGAGGTACACAGTGAAATGAATCCACCCGGACATGAGTCCATGTTCAAATCCAGTTTTGCATCAATATATTGATTTTCAGATATACAAGGAGGTACACAATGAAATGAATACAACCGCGTATCAGTCCATGTTCAAGTCCAGTTTTGCATCAGTATATTGATTTCATGGACGTAAGAGTCTTGTCACGGAACTTCTAACAATAAATAGATTGACCCATGTCGTTTTTATATTAGGTTAGGTTACATCGCATTTTTAATGTTGGATTTCTAATACTCAAGGTGATGGTTTTTCGATTATATTTCAAACCATACAAAAATTGAAAGTAACTCTGTCGAAATACATCAACATCAATCCAAGAAACAAAATATATGACATACAAAATCATTTTTACAAGGAGGTACACAGAAAAATGAATCTAGCCGCGCATCAGTCCATATTCAAGTCGAGTTTTGCACCAATATATTGATTTTCTGGAGATCTTGTCACGGAACTCCTAACAATAAATATATTGGCCTATATCATTTTTATGTTACGTTAGGTTACATCACACTTTTGATGTTGGACTCTTGATATGCCTACTCAAGATTGATGGTTTTTCGATTATATTTCAAATCAAATATTTTGTGTGAACAAAAGAACTTTGTGGAAATTCAACCCTAAAGTACTACAATTATCTCTTATTTGAGAGAGTGGTTTTAGGTAATTTGACTCATATCAATATCCAAAGTTGGGTATATGAGAGATACAAAATGGATAAAGTGGATTATCATACATATTGGAAGTTGGAGAAAATATCTTCTAGTATATAAAGCTGAAGGTTTCATGTCCAGGGCTTGTGGCCTTGTCTCACCATATCTGTTTAAGGAGGGGAAGGAGCTACTTCTCTTGATGCTTGGACGGGTGGGCTTAGGTTTGGTCATTAGATGGGCTTGGGACTAAATTTTCTTTACCCAGATTCATTTTGAATTTTACATTTTGTATTTGCTTCTTTTAATCTGAATATTTGATATTAATATTTTCAATCCTCATGGAGAGCTTCCTATCCGGTTAGCCTTTCTTAACCATCTTCTCCGGTTTAGGAGCCATGTTTCTAATTTTCGTGATAATAAACCGATTGTTTTGTATATATATATTTTAGGTATTGTGAGAGGAACAGGTGTGCCGAAAATTGGAGTTTATGTGAAAATATATATATTAGGTATTGTGATTTGTGAGAGGAACAGGTGTGCGGGAAATTGGAGTTTATGTGAAAATAACTTCTAATTATATTGGTATTCCTATTGGACTAGTAATGTCAATGGGAAAGGCCGAAAGGACTATGGGCTGGTTTAGTCTCAGGACCAACACTACAAGACCTAATCCTATTGCTTGTTATGGAATTCACCAATTGGACCAAAGAGGTGATCACAACCAAGTTTGCATTTGTTTCTAATCCTTAGCTCGGTTTTCGAGAAATCGAGCTAATATTTGTTTCTAATTATTTGGGAAATTTTGTTCAAGAAACATCGACGGCTTTCTCTAAAAGAAATGGCCTCCAAAAACAAAATGAACCAAAGAGAGAACTAATCTTTTTGTTTTCTTATACATTGTAACATTACACACCAATATTTTAAAATAGTCCATGGCTTCTCTAAATATCAATGGACAACGAAAATTGTCATCTTATTCGCATATTACAGTCCTTAAAAAAAAAAGAAGTCCTAAATGTGTATGATAATCTAACAGTGAATAACATGAAGTCCTAGATGTTCTCAGGTTCCGTTTGAGCGATCGCAATGCATAACCCTACTTCACCAACGTAGCCGAGTCGCTTCTTCCTTTCCTCCATTATCCCTTTAGTGGACTTATAGTAGGTACCATACAATATTAATTGTACTAGTCCAAACACACACCCAATCCCATTTGGTATAGCCAAAAATGGATCAAAAGGCACAAAGCCATAAATTGTCCAAACACCTGCATTTAGAAAACCAACTACCGATAACAAAAACGGCATGAACTCTAAACTTTTTGTTTTTATTACCATTTTCATGACGGACAATGGAGAAGCATACATCATAGCGTTGAAAACGCAAGATACAATCCCAACGCTTATTGTCCGTTGTTCGGTAGTGTGTTCCAGAGTTAAGACCAAAACCGCAAGGGTAGCGACAAACACAGCTTGAACCGTTAAAACAGCGGATATTACCAACCGATGTTGTTGACGATCACAAAAAACGAAAAAGATGGTAAGGAAGACGATTTCGACAACGATTCCTATACCGCTGATTGTAACGAGCAAGGTGCTATCAGGATGTACCATAGGAAGTCCATAAAGAGCCCGAACCAAACAGTTTAGGAGAGTGGCTAAATATGGCATTGGTGAGTATTTTTCCACTGACTTTTTTTTCACTATGTGTACAAACGTTGGCGTTGGTGACAGAAACAAACATAGAGAGATGAAGTTTCCTAATATTCCTACAATCTTCCGAATAAGATTCAACTGTGCATGTACCATATTGTGATGATGAAGAGTAGTTATCTTGAGAGAAATAACAAAAGACAAAAAAAAAGAAGAAGAAGGCAAAGAGCAAATTTGTGTAAGATTGCTCGATAGTGTCATGGTGAGTATTTCATTATTTTAATAGCGGGCAACACGTGGAAACATTTTCCACGGGAGGAACAACACATGGATATAACAAAAGAAGTTAAATTTAACACACAAAAAGAAAAAAAAAATCCAAACACATCAATACCAATAAACTAAATCTTTGGACAATGAATAGACATGCAAAATTGGTTTGCGTAAAATATCTGTAATATTCAAGTTAATAATCTATTCATTTTGAACGGATTCAGAAAATCCGGATATTTATAAATTTATGGAACATATATAATTTTTTTTAGTACGTTATTCGTAAGAAACGAAGAAAATTAAAAAATTTAAAATTTAAAAAATCAGATATCCTTTTTTGTTTTGGTAATATATATATATATATATACAAATATATATAGAGATAAATATAACATATAAAACCTTTATAAATTTTTATAGATTGTATCCAATTTGTTTTGGGTGGATACTGATAAAAAATTCATAGAATGAAATTTAAGATCATACTAAACAAAAGTAGATATTGGGTTTCTTCTTTCACCTTTCGATCTTCAACTCGGCATTGGAGTTTCAATCGGAGCCGCTAGATTTGCCTTTTTCTTCTCTGACAAAGTAAGGTTGTGGATATCCGCTCCTCGATATTGTTGTGGCGATTCCTCGACGGAGTGAGTAGTCTCCAATTGATTCCTTGTCTAGTTGAGGATACCGGAGGTTTCACGGTGGATCTTCTCTTGGCTCGTCCGTCGGTTGTGGCTGATGTGACATGCGGCGAAAGTTGGAGAGCGGGTCGGTGTGATTTCTCTGTTTGTATGGCGGTTAAACCTTTAATTTGGATTACTCTAGTCTTTTTCCCTATGTATAATACTCCCTCTGTATATTTAAGTGATGTTTTAACCAAAAAAATTGTTTCATTTTAAGTGATATTTTAATTTTTTATGTAATTTAAATGTATTTATTTTTTGTGACATATCATATTTTATACTATATTTTTTATTGGTTGAATTTATTTTATTTAATAATATTTTTATGTAAAAAAAAAAATTAAACATAATTTATGTATTTTCTTAATTTGTGTATAAAAACCTTAAACAGAACTTAAAATGATACACGCGTATGAGTTTGGCTGATTTTCTTTAAAGGAAAATCAACTACAGGTGGCGGGAAACACTGAAAAACGAACAAATATTTGTTTTTACATATTTTCAACAATTTATAAAACCTCTCACATAAGAAAATTTAGTTTCCCTAGCTAAAATTATTTTCTGCAATGTTCATATCTTGCCATTTAGACCTTTTATCATTAGTTTCTGTCAGTTCCACACTTCCATCAACAACTATTCAACGTTTTGTAAAAACTTCCTCAGCAAGATCGCATCACCTGTTTGCGTTGTATTAACTCTACTTTATTGAAAACCACGTGTTTGCGTTGTTGTTAATTTATTTCACAAGGTCAACGAAGAGTTCTTTATCTTTCCCCAAGTTTTTCAATATTGGATCCATTCATTTTTATTGATTGTAACGCTTCTATAGAAACAGTTTTGATCAAAACAATGGAAAATGGTTTCTTGTTGGTGCCGAAAGATGAGGAAGATAATGAGAAATCTGAAGACCAGACAGAGATGATGAAGAAGGTAAGCTTTATGGCTGCTCCAATGGTGGCTGTGGCTGCTTCTCAGTACCTCCTTCAAGTTATCTCCATTGTTATGGCTGGTCACTTGGACGAGCTCTCTCTCTCCGCCGTTGCTGTCGCCACTTCTCTTACCAATGTCACTGGCTTCAGCCTCCTCGTAAATTCCTTCTCCTCCTCTCTCTTATCTCTCTCGACTTATAGACCGGTCCTAAGGACAAGCATGCTAAGCAAAAAATTAGGGTTGCCAAATTTTGTAATTTTTAAAATGCAACATCACTTATTTTTTAGTGATTATATCTTTAGTACTACCATTTTTGTTTGTTTCTTTCACTAAAAAAGTGTTGTTTAGATCTTTAGTTTAATACAAATTTACACATTTTCAAAAATTATTTTCAAAGTGCTGACTTAGATCTTTAGTTTGGATTGGCAGGTGCGTTAGAGACACTGTGTGGTCAAGCTTTTGGAGCAGAGCAATTTACGAAAATCGGTGCATACACTTATAGCTCAATGCTATGCCTTCTCTTGTTTTGTTTCCCAATCTCACTTTTATGGGTTTTTATGGACAAACTCTTGGAGGTTTTCCATCAAGATCCTCTCATCTCTCAATTAGCTTGTAGATATTCGATCTGGCTTATACCGGCTTTATTCGGTTACTCTGTTCTTCAGTCTATGACTCGGTTTTTCCAGTCACAAGGATTGGTTCTTCCTCTCTTCTTGAGCTCTCTCGGTGCTCTCTGTTTTCACATTCCCTTTTGTTGGCTTCTTGTCTACAAACTGAGATTCGGAATCGTTGGTGCTGCTTTGTCCATAGGTTTTTCGTATTGGCTCAACGTAGGTTTGCTTTGGGTTTTCATGAGAAACTCTGCTCTGTATCGCGAAAACTGGAATCTTCGGACGCAAGAAATCTTTTTGAGCATGAAGCAGTTCTTTACCCTCGCAATTCCCTCTGCAATGATGACTTGGTAACAAAATCCTCTTAACCTTTTAAGTTTGTTTATTTTGATCCCTAACATTAGGGCTTCTTGATCTTTGGTCTTCAATGGATTTTTAACTCTATATGTTCTGTTTTTTTGGGTGTATGTAAAGCTTGGAATGGTGGTCATTTGAGCTTCTTATACTAATGTCAGGACTCTTACCAAACTCAAAGCTCGAAACATCGGTTTTATCCATTTGGTATTGTACATATATCACTTTCTAGTTTCTACAAATTCTAACATAAATCTTTTTTTTTTCAAACAAGCTTTTGACCTTTCAGTCTTTATTCTTCCAACAGCCTGACAATGTCGTCTCTGCATTATGTTCTTGTGAATGCAATAGGAGCAGCCGCGAGGTTTTCTACATTTCCAAATTTTCAAACATTTTATCTTTTTGTTCATGAATATTTTCTATAAACCATTGTTTTTGTCATATAATAGCACACACGTCTCAAACAAGCTAGGAGCTGGAAATCCAAAGGCAGCTCGAGCCGTTGCTAATTCTGCGATTTTTCTCAGCGTGATTGATGCAGCCATAGTAAGCATCACCCTATACGGCTACCGAAGAAAATGGGCTTATATATTCAGTAATGAGAGTGAAGTAGCTGACTATGTAACTCAAATCACACCCTTTCTCTGCCTATCAATTGGTGTTGACAGCTTTCTCGCCGTATTCTCAGGTAAACAATTCACATAATGATGTATAGACCGAAGCATTTGCAGCTGTTACTTGACGCCCAAGAAAGCTAAATTTATCTTTTCCTAAAAAACCCTAAAATTCTTGCTTCGTCAGGAGTTGCTAGAGGAACAGGGTGGCAACATATTGGAGGTTATGCAAACATAGGATCGTATTATCTGGTCGGGATCCCGGTAGGTTCGATCTTGTGTTTTGTTGTGAAACTGAGAGGGAAAGGACTTTGGATCGGTATATTAATTGGCTCTACTTTACAAACGATTGTTCTTGCTCTTGTCACTTTCTTCACCAACTGGGAACAAGAGGTATGTATATATATCTTTGCCTATTTTTGTTTTTCCTTCTGTTTTGCTAGAGTTTTGAATCTTGTTTTGATTTGGGTTTTAGGCAGCGAAGGCTAGAGACAGAGTAATCGAGAATTTGAGATGACATCACAAGAATCATATTAAAAGAGGATGTACAAGGTTTAATAAAAGATATTTCAGAAACTTTGTAAAATCATTGAACTTTAATTAAGTACATATGATGATCCGGTTATTTTTTGGGTATTATTTCTTTTATTTGTCAAATTTAATAGATGTTGATTAGCATCCTTGACTTTTGGATTCGTTGAACGCAGACAAGTTGAGAAATTGAGAGTGAGTAGTTTAATATTATGCAGATTATTCAGATTTTGTTTTGAGTGGGTTCCACGTTATACAATCAGCAAAAAAATTACTACTCTCTCCGTTTCATAATATAAGGCGTTTTGGATAAAGTATTTTGTTTCACAATATAAGTCGTTTTCAAGTTTAAATGCAAATTATATATTATTTTAATATTTTATGATTATTTATATTATGCAGTCTCTTTTATGATTGATTGAACTTTTAAAAAGTAGATTTTCTTAATCTGCGTGTTTTTACCTAAAACGATTTATATTTTGAAACGGAGGGAGTATAACTTTGGCTGTTTCTTTAAAGAAAATCAACTGTGGCCGTAAACACTGAAAACCGAACAATTGTTTTTACATATTTTTCTGCAATATTCATGTCTTACCAATTACCATGTAGATATGCCATAGATACATTCTATCCGAAATTTCAATTAGTTTATGTCAGTTCCACCAGCATGCTATAAATTCTCTTTTATCTATTCGACAATTAGTCAACGTTTTGTATTAACTTCCCCGGTAAGTTCACATACCTACTCAACTTTTATTGAGACCACGTCTTTACGTCATTGTTTAATTCATTTCACAAGGTCAAGGAATAGTTCTTTTTTTTTTTTTTTGGGTCTAATTCAACGAAGAGTTCTTTATCTTTCCCAAAGTTTTTCATTTTTTGGATCCATTCTTTGAAAAAAGATTTCATCAAAAAGATGGAAAAGGGCTTCTCGTTGGTGCCTAAAGAAGAGGATGAAGAAGGAGAAGATTATAGAAATGAGAAATCTGAAGATCAGACGAGTTATTACTTGTCAACAGAGATGATGAAGAAGGTAAGCTCCATGGCTGCTCCAATGGTGGCTGTGGCTGCTTCTCAGTACCTCCTTCAAGTTATCTCCATTGTTATGGCTGGTCACTTGGACGAGCTTTCTCTCTCCGCCGTTGCTATTGCCACTTCTCTTACCAATGTCACCGGCTTTAGCCTACTCGTAAAATTCTCCTCCTCCTCCTCTTCTTCTCTCTTATCTCTCTCGACTTAAAGACCTGTCCAAAGGGTCGCCAAACTTTTTAATTTTTAAAATGCAACTTTCACTTTCTTTTTTTACTGAATATATCTTTAGTACTACCATTTTTTTTTTCTTTAACAAAAAGAAGTGTTGGTAAGAAAGTATTTTAATACAAATTTACACATTTTTAAAGTTATGGAGTGTCCACATTTTGTTTTTAAGAAGACTATTTTTATTGGACCGTCCCTGCTGACTTAGATCTTTAGTTTGGATTGGCAGGTGCGTTAGAGACTCTGTGTGGTCAAGCTTTTGGAGCAGATCAATTTAGGAAAGTCAGTGCATATACTTACGGCTCAATGCTATGTCTTCTCTTGTTCTGTTTCCCAGTCTCACTTCTGTGGGTTTTTATGGACAAACTCTTGGAGCTTTTCCATCAAGATCCTCTCATTTCTCAGTTAGCTTGTAGATATTCTATCTGGCTCATACCGGCTTTATTTGGATACTCTGTTCTTCAATCTATGACTCGGTTTTTCCAGTCACAAGGATTGGTTCTTCCTCTCTTCTTGAGCTCTCTCGGAGCTCTCTGTTTTCACATTCCCTTTTCGTGGCTTCTTGTCTATAAACTTAGATTTGGAATCGTCGGCGCTGCTTTGTCCATAGGTTTTTCGTATTGGCTCAACGTAGTTTTGCTTTGGGTTTTCATGAGAAACTCTGCTCTGTATCGCGAAAACTGGAATCTTCGGGTGCAAGAAATCTTTTTGAGCATGAAGCAGTTCATTACCCTCGCAATTCCCTCTGCGATGATGACTTGGTAACAAAATCATCTGAATTTTTAAAGTTTGTTTGTTGTGATCTTCAATGGATCCCTAACATTAGGGCTTCTTGATTTTTGGTCTTCAATGGATCTTTAACTCTATATGTTCTGTTTTTTTGGGTGTATGTAAAGCCTGGAATGGTGGTCGTTTGAGCTTCTTATACTAATGTCAGGACTCTTACCAAACTCAAAGCTCGAAACATCAGTCCTGTCTATTTGGTATTGTACATATATCACTTTCTACAAATTCTAACGTAACCTTTTATTTTTTTCAAACAAGCTTTTGATCTTTCACTCTTTATTCTTTGAACAGCCTAACAATGTCGTCTCTCCATTTCGTTCTGGTGAATGCAATAGGAGCAGCCGCGAGGTTTATTGATTTCCAATAGTCGTAACAATATATTTTTTGTTCTCGGAAAATTTCTCTGAACAATTGGTTTTGTCTTATAATAGCACACACGTCTCAAACAATCTCGGAGCTGGAAATCCAAAGGCAGCTCGAGCCGCGGCTAATTCTGCGATTTTTCTTGGCATGATTGATGCAGCCATAGTAAGCATCACCCTCTACTGCTACCGAAGAAATTGGGCTTATATATTCAGTAATGAGAGTGAAGTAGCTGACTATGTAACTCAAATCACACCCTTTCTCTGCCAATCAATTGGTGTTGACAGCTTTCTCGCCGTACTCTCAGGTAAACAATTCACATCAAAATCAAAACTCTGTATACATTCGAATGTCCAGACCGAAGCCTTTGCAGCTGTTACTTGACCCCCAAGAGAGCTAAATTTATTTGTTCTTAAAAACCCTAAAATCCATGCTTCTTCAGGAGTTGCTAGAGGAACAGGGTGGCAACATATTGGAGCTTATGCAAACATAGGATCATATTATCTGGTCGGGATCCCGGTAGGTTCAATCTTGTGTTTCGTTGTGAAATTGAGAGGGAAAGGACTTTGGATCGGTATATTGATTGGCTCTACTTTACAAACGATTGTTCTTGCTCTTGTCACTTTCTTCACCAATTGGGAACAAGAGGTTTGTATATCTTTGCTTCTTTTTTGCTGTCTCATTTACTTGTCTTTTTTTTTTTTTTTGTATTCTCTCTTCTTGTTTGGATAGAGTTTTGAATCTTGCTTTGATCTGGGTTTTAGGCAGTGAAGGCTCGAGACAGAGTAATCGAGATGACATCACAAGGCAACCAAGTAACAGAAATGATATTAAAAGAGGATGTACAAGGTTTATTAAAATATATTTCAGAAAATGTGTAAAAACATTGAACTTTAAGTACATATGATGGTCCGGTTAATTTTTGGGTATCCGAATTTTGTTTTATTTGTCAAATTTAGTGGATGTTGAATAACATGTTTACACTTCTATTAGGACACTAACACTTTTTGTATTGTGGTTGACTATTTTAACCTTTTGCTAATTAACAACATTAACAGTAAATAATTTCACATATCCATGGACAATCAGAACTCTGTCTGTTAATGATGATTCATTGCAGCTTCCCCTATAACGTACCAACGAAGAAAATGAGAACTTCAGAGACTTCAAACAGAGAAAACAAAGATTCCGATATGATTACCATGTCACATTGTTGAATTCAAAATTATTTTTTATTACAAAGTCTCTTGTTCACATGTCACGTGCGGAATTCGTCTTTGACTGGGTAGATTAGCCGCAAAACAATTGGAACACAGTAACACACTATCCACATAAGAACATATGGATACCAAAATACAATAAAAAGGCAACAAAAGTCGCACGTTTATTTTTCTCTTAGTCAAAGTATACCAAAATATAGTCGCCGAAACAAAAGTCATACTTTTCTTTATTTTCATTTTACATTCATTATTGTAATATCACTTGAACTATTCATATCCACTTATTACACATACCATAACTAAAACTTGTGCATGAACATAACAAAAGATTCAAACATACGGAGGCTGCGTCTGCTTCTGCGTCTGCGTCTGCGTCTGCGTCTGCGTCTGCAGCCATAGTGTAATATCACTTGAAACTATTCATATCCACTTATTACACAGACCATAAAGAACTAAAACTTGTGGATGAACATAAGTACATAACAAAAGATTCAAACATACGAGGCTGCGACTGCGTCTGCGTCTGCAGCCATAGTGTATTTATTAGCGTCGCGATTACTTTAGATTTTATTGAGGAGTATCATCACAGGAGTCGCATAAGCATTTAACGTTACTGCCCTCTCCCCAACGACACCTTCCACCTTTAGCTCCCTTGATTTCACGGCATCTTGTATAACAAATCGTAGGAAATATCCGAGGGGCACAAAAGCCGAAACCAACATCACCGCCATATTCTTCCAAGCATTCGCTACCTTGAGCTTCTATCTCCGGCATGACTGTCATAAACAAAAGAAAACATAGAATCACATTTCATGAATTTGCTAGCTATGATCACAGAGATTTTTTAATTTACTAAAAATAATTTCAAGAAACGCAGAGTAAGTTTGCTTACCGGAGATAACCAAGAAGAAGATGAAAAAGAAAACAAAGATGGAAACGGATTTTATTGCCTTTGCCATTTTCTCTGTTTAGCTAACTTTGGGTTTCTTGTTATGTGTTTAACACTTGGTGTTGGTGCTATTTATCTTTATCTTTAGGACCAAACCGATTTGCTTTGTGATATGAAACCGAACTATACCAAAACTAAACCAGCCAAATAATGGATTAAATTGAATTTTCAAAAATTTTAGTTTGATTTTTGACCTTTTCATTTGACTTCGAATCGTTTCCCACCATCGCATATGAAGTTGTATGTGTAATATTATATGTACTAGATAACAACCCGCACGATGTGCGGGATGAAGTGATTCAACTAAAATTATTATGATTAAAATTATTATCCGGGATCCAAGACCCGTTTGTGTAAAACGAAACATGTTACAATTTTTTTTTGTTTTATTCAAATTTGGGACTATTTCATATAAGAATATGTTTTACCCGTGAAATATTTGAACCTTGAATAAAGCTTCAACGTGATAAAAAAGTATTGACGAAATGTTACCATTTATGGCAATATGTTTTTCCGTATGTTTTAAAGATTTCGAGATTTTGTAGTATAAAAAGAATTTTTTTTTTTAATAAGTATAAGAAATCCAAAATTTAGCAAAGATGAGATTTGATAGTTTCCAAGCTAAGATTTTGTAGTGTTCCAAATCTACGATTCTTAGATTATGAATGGATTATTTACGAAATGGTTATAATGTGGTCATATTTTGGTTTATATACAAATGTGGTTATAATGTTTTTCTTCGAAAAGTTAGAATTCCTCCAAAAAAATAGGATTTTAAGTATTCGTAACATATATAGAAAGGAGATTATCTTATTTATTTAAGTAAAAAATTTATGAAAGATGTAAAGATTTTGTAGTTTTGAATTCGAGATTCTTGAACCAAATGTATATATTTTATCATTTAAATATAAACATAAATATATATATAAATAAAAATATTGTTTACCCATCCGCTAAAGAAAATTTATATAAATGTATATAAAAAAAATATAAATATAAAAATATAGTAATATAAGATAAACAAAAAGTGTATGTCTTTAATTATTAATGGGATATATGGATGTATGAGACTAATGGCAAATTCTGTAAATAGTCTAATAAATCTTGGGTAATTATCTAAATAGAAGCCAAATCATTGTGAGAGCGACACATCAGCGTGGCAATCTTGTTAATAACACATGATGGTAAGGTTTTTTTTTTTAAATGTTTCTCTGTTAATATATAGGGGATATCTATACTAGTATTTTTGAAGTACATTTTATATCGGGTGGGTTAAAAATTTATCCGAGATTTTTGGTTACCTGACCCGATATAAAATTTACTTCAAAAATCTTACACCGAATATTCCATATTTTTTTTTGTATCGAGTCAAAACATATCCGAAATTGTGAACCAGATATTCCATGTCTAAAAGTATAGATATTTAGAAGATTTGGTTAAAATTTAAAATTACGATTCTCCTATCATTTTTGTTTGATTTTCTTTTGACTATTTTGAATCATCATATAATACATAAAGTTTAAAAAGTCTCAATTATTTTTTCTGCATATATTGTGATTTAAAATTTTAAAGACGGACATATATTACCCAATTGATAAAAAAAGTGTGTATTCAATCAATGTCCCATATTGGCTAAAATGTTTAGACAAAGATTCAGAATCATATTATAAATAAGATCAAAATAAATTCAAATCTGAATGTATAGGAAGCTGAACTTAACAAACATCTAAATTTAAAAGCTTGTATACTGTTTAATTCAGTTTTTAGTTTAACTGCTTAATTTTATCGGAAATATTAAATTTTAGATTTTTAAAAAGTTTTAAATAATATAATTTATATATTTAAAATCAATAAAAAGTTTATAATATTATGAACATTTGAACATATATTGCAATAAAACGGGACGGGTTATATTGCGAGACGGAGTTATATGTCGTGACGAGTTTTTAAGAAGTTTTAAATATTATAATTTCTATACTTAAAATCAATAAAAAGTTTCTAATATTAAGAATATTTGAACATATATAAAGAGTTAAAATGATACAGGACAGTTATATTGCAGGACATGGTTATATGACGGAACGGGTTTGAATCAAAAAAATTAAAATATTATTAATTTGCTGCTTCAATACGGGTTAAATATTTATTTATTAGTTTTTTTAACACCACCAGTATTAGACGTATCGAATGATCTTGATTAAAATAAAATTATATAAAACAAAAATTATCCCGTGGTATACCACTACTTAATAAAAATTGTAAATTATAAAATATAAATATCTTATAAAATGATACAATTTACAAACTTTTATATTTAATATATAACCATTAAATTTAAAAAATTACTAATTTTAAAAACAAACCGTCCTGCGTTATACCGCGGGTTGAAATCTAGTATACTGGATAAAATTAATGCAATGAAAACATCAATATGGTTGCGGTCAACAATAAAGAAATATTTCATTTGTTATTAGTCTGGTTTTTACTCTGTTCTGGAAACAATATTTTCTCAACAAAACACTGATGTAATCTATTTTTCTGTTGTCAAAGAGCTTATGCCATGACTTACGTACGAACTAAAAATGTTCTCTTTTCTTATATGAAAGATGAGTAAACAGGTGTTTTCAGAGTTCAACATTAGCAACCTAGATATTACATCCAACTTTTATTCTGTGATTCATATAAAACGAAAAAACATATACATTTCTACCGACTCCGCTATACTAAAATTGTTTTTATACATAACTGTGTAGATGTCATAAGCCTGTTCTGTTCCAAGGTAACCATTGCTGCCACCAGAATTACTTAAAGGGGGAGGCAAATCACGAACCAGAAACTTCACTGAGTGTTTTCCCATACCATTTAGTATCTCCAAGCATTCTTGGAGATCATAATCTGTAACCAGCATCACCCATTTTTCTTCATCATCCAAGTACTTCAGTTGAAACGATCCGTCTTGAAGTTTAAAATGTTTCCCAACTTCTTTATAGAGCTAAGGACACCCAACCGATGGCTCGAACTTGAAACATGCATTGTCTTCTCTATAAGTGGCATTTACGATCAGCGTTGTTGATCCACTCTTGCCGCTATTATTGTTGTGGGTTCTCATTTGGTTTCAATCTTCCATGGAAGTAGATGAGCCTTCGCCCAGATACTGCACCTGAGCCATTTGATGAATCTGATATGCTGCATGACATGGATTGGTTAGGTTCAACAATACTGCCACTGCATCGGATTGTTGGATCCATCCATCTGAAATTTCCAGAGAGCTTAAGTTGCAAACGCCCTTTATTCCTTCACTGCCATTCAAGCCAGACTGTTCGGCCATCCAACCCCATGGCTGACCACTAACATTAACCTCCATGAAAGATCCTGCAAAAATTGAAAATGTCTTAAGATTCTAATCGCTCCATCTATTGTTTATGGATAGAGAGGTTCTTACCTGATCTTGCTTGGTTCATGGTAATATCCTCTTCTAACTTAATGGCATTGTCGACAAATTTAGCTTCTTGGTCCAAGTCAAGGCTTAGATAGTTTGTGTGCTAACAAAAATAAATCTATGCCTAGAAATTTGTGGAAGTCTCACCACCAAGGCTTTTTGCAGCATCCTTTAGACTCCCAGAAAAGTGTTGTTGGCGAGCGCTTAAGCTCACAATTTTCTCTGTAGTGCTTTTCTTCTTCTCTGCTGTTCTTGCTTTGCTCATATCCTATGAAAAGTTGTAAGAAAAAATATCAGTGCTCAATTTACCAAACTTTTCACAAAATCTATAGAATAACCAAATTGTAGACATCACGTACCTGCTTCAAAGTGCCTTGAGATACTGTGATACTGTTTTCTTTGTCAGAGGACATGTCCGAAAATATGCTTCTGGTGTTTTTCAATGTGTGCTTGGATTCCAAAATAAATATACATCCATTTGTACAAATATGCATGAAAATAAACTTTATTTGATAACAAAAGGTGAAAGGTAAGTAAATTCTTAAAATTAGACATTGTATAATTATTTTCAAGCGAATCAAAAACTTGAAATAGAATTATAGGGAGATATGTCATATATCACCAAAATAATATGAAAAACATCTTATATATCTTTAATATATTTTGATCTTAAGAAATATTTAGAATGATGATAAATAAAAATGCTCATATTTTTAGGAGGAAGATAATTTTATTTCTTTTAAAATAAATATAACTAAATCTAAAATAGAAAAGGTTTATCTCATTTCAAAAATAAAGAACATGTATTTGCCAAATAAAAATGGACACATGTTAGCTTGAGAGACAACACGTGTCACCTTTTCTTAGCTTATGTTTTAGAGGAATCCTTCTTTAGTACTATATCTATACTAGTATTTTGAAAGTACATTTTTAGTGGGTGGAGCAAAATGCATTTGGATACGATGGGTATCCGACCTTTTTATAAATTTTGGTCATAAAAATTTTGTTGGGTCGGGTTATATTTAATCCAACTCATACACCGGATATTCCGTATTTAATAATTTAGATATTTAGAAGATTTGATTAAAATTTAGAATTATGATTCTTCTATCATCTTTGTTTAATTTGTTTTAACTGTTTTGAATCATCATATAATACATAAAGTAAAAAAAAAAAAACTTTTCTCTGCATATACTGAAATTCGAAATTTTAAAAACGGACATATATTATCCAATTGACGAAAAATGTGTGTTCAACGTTCCACATCGACTAAAATATTTAGACAATGATTCAGAATCATATCATAAATAAGATCAACATTAATAAAATAAATGAGTGTTTTGGCGAAACGGGTATGGCCGGACAGGTTTTTAAATCAACAATAATAAAAAATTAAAATATCATTAATCCGCCGCTTCAATACGGATTAAATCCTTAATTTTTTTTAATACCACCAATATTAGACATATCAAATCAGTCTCATTTAGAAAAGATTGTATAAAACCAAAAATTGTCCTGTGGTATAATGTTACTTAATAACAATTGTAAACTATAAAATATAAATATCTTAGAGAATGATACAATGTGCAAATTTTTATATATAATAAATAATTGTTAAATTTTTAAAATTACTATTTTTATAAAACAAATCACGGAACAGGTTAAGAAATTACAGGACGGGTATATATTTTGGAACGGGGTTATATGGTGGACGAATTTGAATCAATATTTATAAAATTTTAAAATAGCATTAACATGCCGCTTTAATACAGATTAAATCCTCAGTTTATTAAAATATAAATGTCTCAGAGAATGATACAATTTGTAAACTTTTATATATAGTAAATAATCCTTAAATCTTAAAATCACTATTTTTAGAAAACAAATCACGGGACGGGTTGAGAAATTACAGGACGGGTTATATTTCGGAACGTGTTTATATGGCGGACGGGTTTGAATCAATATTTATAAAATTTTAAAATATCATTAACATATCTCTTTAATACAGGTTAAATCATCAGTTTATTAACAATTGTCCCGTGGACTCGTGGTATACCGTTACTTAATAACAATTGTAAACTATAAAATATAAATATTTTATAAAGAGATATAATTTGCAAAATTTTATATATACTAACTTAAAAAAATAAATCACTGCGGGTTAAAATCTAGTATATATATATATATATAAGGGGACACATGTCAACTTGAGAGATGTTATGTGTTAGCTTCTAGATGCTTATGTTTAAAAGGAAACTTTTTTATTATATATAAAATATATATATTGCAATATTGTTTGAGTTATCATTTACAAGCAAACACCAAAATGTTTCCGCAATTGAAACTAATCGTCCTTCTATCTCTCGTTGTAATCCACCTCCTTCATGTCTTGGCCAAAAAATGGTGTGTGTCAGATACACAACTACAACTACAAGCTAATATTGATTGGGCATGTAGCATAGGAAAAGTTGACTATGTAAAAATCAATCTAGGTGGAGATTGCTATGAACCAAATACTCCTACTAGTGATGCATCATTTGTGATGAATGATTACTACCAGAACCACGGAAACACTGAAGAGACATGTGATTTCAATCATACTGGTCAAATAATTGGTGCTGATCCAAGTTATCGTCGTTGTAGGTATACGTAGAATATATTGTTTGATGAATAATTTTGTGATTGCAAAGTTTTCTAGCGAATAATACAATTATGTAGAATCGAAATTCGAAAGTATTATTAAATATTTTGTAGGTTAATAAAAACTAAATTTATTTTTCATTCATTTTAGTCATAATAAATGTTTATATATTGATGAATTTGTCATTATATTCAACATTTTTTGTGATTCTCTCTTACAAGTTACAACAAAGTCATTATGTAAAATAAATACAACTTGTGCCAAAACTCTTAGAATGGTGTAGAAGTCATCACTATTTTATAACATAATAGTTTATAAACTATTAATATTGTATCTTTCATAAACTATTAATATTGTATCTTTCCTAAACTATTAATATTCGTTCAATTGTTAACTATTCTTAAATTCTGATAGAAACTAACATAATGCGTTAAGATTTATAAACTAAAATAAACATATAGAAATATTTTTTCTGATGGAAAATATTATTGATAATTTAACACATTCGTATGCCTATAAATTATTATATATGATGAGTAAGATAGTAAACTCAACCTAATTTCAACTTAACTTTTAGAAAGTAATCATATATTTAATAACTCACAAATTGTTTTTGACAAACTAAAAAAAATTAACATTACTAATAATCTAGCTGCATGATTTGAAACTTATACTTTTCACCCAATTTTGAAACAAAAATTTGTCTGAAGTCGCTAGAGAATTTGACAACAACGAAGAAGAAATTTTTGTTTTCTTATCTCGTTTGGTGATAAAACAAGGCTTTGAAAGTAAAAATCTTGAGCATCCAATGTCGACATGATGGTGAAATCTCTGTAAAGTATTACTAGGACTGTCAGAAAGAGGATATGTTGGTCTAGGGAACATGTTGGATTGACATTTGGGATGAGTTCAAGAGAAAAAATCAAGCAACAATTTCAACTTCGAAAAAAATGTATGGTCCGCAACTATGTCAATATTTTTAAAATCTTTACACTTTAAAATCCTAACATATCAGTCAAGATTCGGTGCTCCATTTTATCGATAGACTTCAAAGATGGACTAAGCAAGAGTTGCAACAGTGTAGGATTTAGTCGGTGGATGAAGCCTTGTGGCCAATTCACTCTAGAATTTATACAACGTGGACCGACTCAAGACCTTCGAGGGGAGGAATTTGTTGTATTCACACCAACCTATGACATTCGAGAGGAAGAAAGGGTGATGTCTAGACAAAGGTTGGGGTAAAATTGTAGTAACTACAATTTACATTAAGTTACATACTGCGGTAATAATTACTAACCCTAATTACTATTGTAGAAATTGTTGCTCTAACATGCTACAATTTACTTTCAATCATTTTTATGTTTATTTCATGATCCTAATCACTGCAGTTATAAAACAAGACCTTAACTTATAAAACCATCAAACCTTATGGAATTCTTTTATCAAAAGTATGACACAATTGGAAGTAAGACTATAATCCCATTTTTCTAACTGAGAAAATACATCAATTTTTAAAATAAAATCTCATCTAAAAATTTCCCTCATTTTTGTTCGATGTTTTTCTTTTATTCAAAACACAGGAAGAATTTGAAACAAAGTCACATGAAAGAGAGATAGTCTGGTCATATCTTGTGGGTAGACCTTGATAATAAAACAAAGTAACAAACTTTCGACCTTATGTGTTTATTAATAATATATCCATTTAAAAATTTAGATTCGGTTATAGTTTGTATAACAAAAACAAAATATATATATATATATACTAAACTGGTGTTTTGGCTTTTATAAATTCATAACTTCTTCAATCAATGGGTCTGATTGATAACCAAAAGCTGTTAACTGTTAGCTTTTCCGGAATAGTGCAAAACTGTACGAAAGAGATGTACGAGAACGCTGTACAAAAAAGCTGAGAGTAAAACTTTTAGTAACGCTTTTGGTAAAAAATTTGTGATTGGTAACTGTCAAAACTGTATACTTTGTAACGCTATGTACCGCTTTGTAAAGTGATTACCAATCAATGCCAATATCTTAGATGTGGATGTAAGATTGATTTTTATATGGATTCTTACAGAAGATAATTATATTAAAAAAAAAAAACTTTAAAAAGATAGGATAAAGCAAATAAAAGGTGATGACAGAAGGCTAGAGAGCACAAAGGAGTAAGATGCAAAGAAACTGCTCCGAATTGTATCTTATCATCTGTGCTCTCTATCTTCTGTCAACACTCTCAGTGCCTCTCAAACCATTAAATATCGATATTTTGATTTACGACTGAAAAAGGATATTGAAAGAGCCTGATACATACCTTGATGAAAAAAAAACGAAGTTGATGATCCGTTTAGTTATAAATAGGAGAATAACATGATATGGATGGTGTAGAGAAGTACTAAAAGGGTTGTTGATTAAATGATGATGATGATGAGATTTCTTGAAGCCAATATTTATAGACGCATAGAGAGCAGCGAGATGATTTTTCTCCGCTCCTAAAATTGATCATTTTGTTTTAATAATTGTTGTTATGAATTGGTTCTTTTGGTATATCCAGCTTTTAAATTCTATCCCTCAATTAAAAAACTTTTATTCTTGTTGAAAGAAAAAAAGTTATTATTCCCGGTCAATGTCCAGGCTCAATAATATTTTGACGCTAACTACCTATTTAGCAAGATAGGTTTTTCCTAACCATCCCTTATAAACCTAAACCGAGATATTATTTCGTTTAATTCTAAAAGCTAAACTCAAAATCTTCTTTATAAACTCAAATCGGTATTTAACCTCGTATAATTGTAAAATCTAAAATCTAACATTTTCTTATAAACCCAAACCGATGTATAACTTCGTTTATAATTGTAATATTAAATCATAATCCTTCTCTTATAAATCTAAACCGAC